TTTGTGCTCCCATACACCTTTCATTCTCACGTAACAAGACAGTCACATCATCCAACTTTAAAGTAGACCTACCTACCAATATAGTCTGAACTAAAGGCTTATAAGACTTGGGCAAAAATGATAACAAAATTAAAGCCTTCTTTTAATCTTTTAACTCATTAATAGAAATTGCCAACAATTGAGAAACTAATCTATTAAACTCATTCAGGTAATTATGAAAACTTGTACCCTTTTCCATCTTCATAGAATATAGATTTATCTTTAAACATAATTTGTTAGTTAACGACTTTGATGTATTAATACCCTTAAGCTTATCCCACAAACTCTTCAGAGTACTTTTGTCAATACACTATATTTTACCTCTAGGGCTAGCACCAATCTAATAGTACTAACAACTTTCTTTTGAATTTTATTTCAATTACTGTCAGACATTTCCTTAGCTTTGCTACTTTACCCTTGTTGTACTAACAGATCTTGAATCATATTTTGTCATACTATAAAATTACTCTTTCCATCAAATAACGGAATCTCAAACTTAGGTATAGGCATACTAGACATATCTTTTTTAGACATTTTGAAATACTTGCTTCACGATATCTTAGGCTTGCCTCTCTTTCTATGAACCTCTCTCTGATACTACTTGTTGGGGATCACTACAGCTCTTGATATCACTTGTTAGGAAATCAATACGCACACGCAACACCCACAAACAAAATAGCTAGCTCAAATCAAGAATAAGAACACACAAATATATTTGTTTCCGTCCAACTCAAATGGCTTACTCAAACCCAATCCACTAACAAATAAATCTTTACAATTGTGAGACTTTTAGAATGAGAAAAGTCTTCAAAAACTCCTTATTCAAAACTTAACCAAAAACTCAATTACACCATTTTAATAACCTATTCACCTAGCTATTCTCTTGGTGTCTAACTATCTGAGATTACCAAATCAAGACCAAAACATCTTATTTATAAGAGTGAAATCCTTATACCTTTACTAAACTCTTTATATGGGATACAAGACAAACTCTCAACTCTTATAACTTTACTCAACTTTCGATGTGTGAAATTTTAAGATTCAAGACAAATCCCAAACATAGAGAAAACCATGCTAAACAAAATTCTTTAGTGTCTGCTTGATGATGAGGATGGTTCAACCCCAAGGAAACATAAGCCAAGATACCATAAGCGCCACTTGTATTAAAAGTAATGTTTACAGTGCCTGTACTCTTTGCAACATCCATAGTCCATCCGAAGAACACATCCGATATCATACACAGAGGGGGCTTGCCTTGTTTCACTATCATATCTAACAACAATTGCTGAAATGGTGTATTGAGAGAAATAGATGAAATAACGAGTTTACCAATTTGATTCAAAGACACGTTCTTAGTGTTCTCTATGTTGGGTTGCAGGCCAGGGTCAGCGCTGTTGAATGGAAGCTTGGCCAAGCGGATCCATGAAGGAGTGGAATTTTCTTGGTGAAGAGTGGAACGGAGATATTGGACGTTGAGAGGGGTGTTGGCAATGGTGATGTTGAAGCCTGTGCGCTGGTGGATTTGTCTTGCAAGAGCTAGATATGGTATAAGATGGCCATAAGCCATGAAAGGTAGCATTACAATGTCAATTTGCTCATAATCAGAAGAATTCATGGTTCTATTGGGTATTTTGGCTCTTTGCTGAAAGAAGTTTATCCTAGTGATCAGTAGTACAATAATGATTTACATTGTTTTTGGGGAGGGACAAAAAGCGCCTTTAATTTTGATAGAGAAGTTTTAGACAATGTGCCGGTCCATTTTGTCTCTCTCAACCGGTCCTATTTTTTGGATGCATTGAGATTGAATTAATGGAGAGAAACAATGATGCTTCATCTTTCAAAACTAGCCTGCTGTTGAATAATTTAAAATATGATACAATAAAAAAAATGAAGATGACTTAAATTAAAATTTTAACAAAAATAATATATTAAAGTTTAAAAAAATTAAAAAATATATTTTATATTTATATAAATTATAATATGTAATTTTATGTAACATATATATAAATACATAAATTATTAGTGTTTTAAATAACATGATAATAAAAAGATCGATCTTATAATGAGTGAATTGATCTTTTCTAGTTGCAACTCAAAATTTTCGAATGTTAGAAGGAAAAAAAATCAGTAGGCCGGGGATTGACTTTTTTAGTTTTACTGTCACAAAAGAACATTTTGTTTGAAAAATGATGGATTTATTCAAGTTGGAGATCAATCATTTTAGCTTTGCGTCCAAAAGATAGCATTTTGTTTGAAAATATATGCTTATGAGAACCCATGGTCGACCTGTTGGGTTTGTTTGGCTGTTTTTGCAGAAGTTTCTGCTAACTAATGACTAGTTGTATGTTCGTAGGAACAAGCTTTTACTGCTGATTCCCCGTTGGAGAGTGTAACAGGGTGGCTCTTTGGGGAATCTGATTTCCTTTGAGTAAATTGCACTGCCACTTAATTTTATTTTATGGATTCTAAATTTTTAAATAATATAAATGTAATAAAAAATTTCTAATGCAGTAAATTTTGTAAATATTTTGCATAATTGTCACGTGGATTCCAAATGACAATCAATAATTTATGGATTTTGATTAAAAGTTTTATTGCTAAGGTTGAATGTTGAATGTTTTGTTAGATGAACACATAATTTGAAATAGTGATCAAAACATCTATATATAAATTGATTGGGTTAGTATTGTTAGATTCTGTATAATTTAAAAGTTCAAATTATAAATTATATATAAAAATTCAAATATTGATTTATACATTTTTAAATTCAAATATAGTAATTAATTCTTTTCGATTCAAGATTTATTTGACAATATGATCGGTTGCGCCACTGTGTATTTTATAACTAAACTTTTTAAAAATTTGTATGTATTTGTGGGTTTGAAAAATGAATTAACACAAGCAGAATGAAGGGAGGTAGAAATTGTCCGAATTTTTCTTACCTTTCCAAGAGGAACTAGGAAAGGATTCATTTTGCAGATCCAACAAGTTTGGGACGTTTAGCAACATTGATTTTTATTACGAGGCCTTTAGGTTGCCAGGCAGCCAATCCCAAAAAGGGGCATTGAACCGAGTGTTTGTCGAGCTGGTCAAACACCTTGTTGAACCGGATTAGACAGGGCAGGTAGGCGTTTGAACCGTTTTCAGTGTTAATTTTGAGTTTTACTGTTAATATTGCACGTCGGTGCATTGCCTTTTTTATGCGCTTGTTTTTGAAGGGTTCATGCCCATGTTAATGATTATTTTCCCTGTTTGGTTTTTTTCAGATATGATAAAGAAAATAAGAAGCACCTTGCCAATGGGTGTTTTCTGTGGTTGGTAATTGGCTATGGATTTGGTGAGTGTGCATGTATCATAGTTTGTTAATATATATATATATATATATGTACTGTGTCTCTAAGACTTCTTTCCCACCCTAGGTGAGAAAATCATATTTTGTCTGTGAAATATAATAGTTTCATTAGGCTTGCTAAGTTTAAACTGAATTTTGTTGATTGGTGTTTCTTTCTTTGCAATTTCTGTTCGATGTCTGACTTCCCTACAAATGTTTATTTAACTCGGAATGATTTAAATGATGTTTTTCCTGGCATGTATATTCTGTGATTTCAAATAATTGCAATTTTTGTCCAGTGTAAATGCAATTGTTGAGACCAGCATCTGCTTAGTTATATACTTATATTTAATTATAGTGTCATATCTGGTTATCACTTTAGCTTTAAAGAGCAATTCTGTGATTGATGGGCATACAAGTATCAAAAGCATCAGGTTTACCTTTATTTGTTTCAAATTGGCTCCAACTTAAGACCTGGATATAAATGGCCTGTGGAATTACATACTTTATTGTTCCAGGATAATTACTGGAATACATATTGATATATGCTCTTGATATTTTGTCTTGAAGGGAAAATAATCAATCATCATTGACACACACATACATACAAACTACACACTCACATGTAGTATTGCCATTATATTTTAATTTGTGAATCACGGTTGTTAATCTTGGGAAACAAAATGTATCTTTCTGCATATCATGTAGGTTTCTGAGTATAGTATTGCCTGTGAACTTGAAAGTACTGAATAACCTCGATGTTTGATTGGTGAGAATAAATGAATAGCAGAGGTGTATTCTTGTATTTAGTTGGTTGAAAAGCTATTAAAAAAGAGTTGGATAACAACAAAATAACTATTGTGAAGCTACATATAGTTGTACTAATTTATTTCAATTTCACGTATTGCAGGCCTCTTCTTTACATACCTAGGGTTATATCTAATGAATGGGCATGGTCAACCTGCACTCCTCTATCTTGTTCCTTGTACATTAGGCAACAAAGTTCAAAATTCCACCCGGATATAGGCTACTTCAGGCTGGCTTGTCAGAAAAAATCTCTTATACTATCTCATTGTAACTCGTTTTCCCCTTCCCTTTCTCCCTTCTGATTTTTCTTTCCTTTTGCAGAAGTTGCTGTCATATTAGGTTTGGTAAGGGGAGAGCTGAAAGGGCTTTGGAATTACAGCCCCGAGTCATCTTCCATGACAAATTTATGATAATAATAACACATAAATTTTGTCATAATAAATTTAATATTTGTGGTAAAATTACTCATGATCACAAGAAAATCCTCACTAAAAACCTGTTCAAAATTCGGAAGAGAATATGAAAAGAGCCAAAGAAACAATATGGCCGGACCATATAAAGGGCGGATATATAATGGACGAGAAAAAAAAATTTATTGCCAAAATTTAAACTTTCATGAAACATTAATAGCTTAGAAACCAGGGGGCAGAAAGCAATTTGTAACTAGTTTTAACTTGAGTAAAAACCACATCGAATCCTTGAATTACTGCCCGCTTTATTTCATGATTCATATGTAGCAATGCAAATGAAACAGTCGCCTTTTATATTTTAATTAATTTTATGGCAGTAGCAGGCTTGCAGTTAGGAGTACGTATGGCGTCCTTCATCGGATAAAGAACTTATAAATGGCAGAAGCAATGAGCAAACCGGGAAAGAAGGTGAGGCCAAGGGAACATGTGGCGATAGCAAACCCCATGGAAGATTGTAACACTGCGTAACTGCCTGTGCTGAAAGCAATCACCATTGCTATGATCGCATAAAAAGTTAAGACATCTGCCAGACCAATCACCTCATATCGGAGATTAACTAGACTCCACTTCAGGAATACCAAGAGAAAATGAAGCAGGACCGCTAAAAGAGAGAAAACAAATGCAAGGGTATCTGTAATAATGAAGGCTTTAAAAGCTGGGTCACGACTCAAGGTTGCATCCCCTTGCTCATCACTCTTGTATCTACGAGGTACGTTGAATGCTGCGGCGAATGTTACGGTTGCTACTAGCGCTGCCACCAGTAAATGGGTCTCTCGTGTTTTTTCCACAACTTCGATGGAGGAGACATCATCCTCGTCCTTTACCTTTTCTCTGAAGTTTGGGTGAACCCGTAACCCTTCCACTTCTGCATTATCACCAATGTCATTCAACAGTTGGCGAATATGTTTCTGCAACGATAATCGTCGATTTAAGGAATGATTAGCATTTATCAGTCAATGAGTAAAATTCACGGGTACTTTCACAATTTTTATAAATATATCATTTTCATTCATGACACAAAAGATATATATCTTTTTTTTAAAAAAAAAAAATTCACTATCCATCGTTTCGTCAATCAACATTTAGAAAATTAAAAAAATGTTCATGCAAACATTGTGATATAAATACAAACACGTGACAGGATCCACACGTGGGCCACATGCATGTTTTAAATTTATTAAGCGAGATTTATCTCTCTCACGCCAACTTCACAAGTCATTGAAACATGTCATATCTATGCACCGGGTAAAGATTTAGATGAAATTTTGTACGTAAAATTCATGAAAATTTTAATTAAAATCAATTAAATAAGATTAAAAATTAAAAATTAAAATGTTTTATTACGTAAATCAAACATGTAAAATTTTAAAAAATTTTAATAAATTTTGATATATACTTTTAAATAAATATTTTTAGTAAAAATATTGATATTGTTGAATATATTTGGATCATATTTGAATTATAAATAATATTTTTAATAATATTTTTATATATTATTGATATTCACATTAAACTTTATCAATTTATTGGTTTGAATTTTTTATTAAATTATTTAAAAAAAAAAACTTTACAAACTTCACCTAAAAAATTTCATATTAGTTTTTTTCATCCTATGGGTAGACAAGTGATACTCGTATACATATCCTGATTGATTGATGACTAATAGAAGATAAACCATAAACTTTTCTAAAAAATTATTCATGAAAATCCTTTTTTTTTTTGTCATGTATAAAAGTGAGATATATATATATATATATATATATCATGGAAGTTCATGAACTACTAGTGAATTTTACTTATCCATATATTGGTGATGGAGTTTTTAAACTAGATAAACAAAATTAAAAGCCTTTGTTATAACATTTTCTCATTTTTTAACTTTATTTCTACCCAATCTTTTTATTAAATTATACATTTCATTATCTGCTAGTATAGTAGTTGTCTCTAATGTGACATCCCAATAATTAAAATTTAAGACTTTAGTTTAAATGTTTTGAATTAGGATTTTGAGATGGACAGAGTGAGATTTATGATATGAGAGAGTCACTTTTTATTAGGATAATAAAGTTCATATCGAATTTAATTTAATTTTTTTAAATAATATATAATATTATGAATTTTTAAAGTTTGATTTAAATTCTAACCAACTTTTCTTTAAATCGATACAATTACAACCAATAAGAAAAAATCGATTCCATCTAAACCAAACGTTATGATTTCAAATTAATTTTTATTTTTTTGGTTTTCTCTCCATCCTTACCTTTCATTATGTTTCCATTTTTCCCTTTTTGCAATGAATTTTTTTTGTGTATTTCAAATCCGAATTTTGATTATTTATTATTAATTTTTAAATTACTTTATATTATCACAATGATGAATTGATAAATATTTCTTTAATTCTTCTGTCTAGTGGTTGAAATAAAATAAAGAAAAAAATCAAGAAAAATTATACTATATTATTAAATTATATATTTTTCTCTCATTTTGTTTGGCATTAATTTCTTCGTTTATATTTCATTCTAATGTTGGTATTTATTATTTAATATTACTTATTTTATTATTATCTGTTTTTTTAGTATGGTATTATATTATGGTTGAATTGACTCTAAAAAAAATTATTGAAATAATAAGTTATTATCTTTCGTCTATACAACAAAATTAAAACTAAACGAAAGAAAATCTTAAAAGTTAGTATTAGCCTAATTTAATTTCTTTAATTTTTTTTGTAATTTTTATGAGCAGTTTATCCCTAAAAAGATAAAAATAAAAAAAAAGAGAAAAACATAAAATAAAAATATTTACAAAAAATAAGATAAATGAAAAGACAATAAAAAAAATGAAAATGAAATTGGAAAAAAATCTCATGGGATCCTTTCAATATATGTATAGATTGTGAAATGAAATAATAAATTAGGAACTTATTAAAGGAGACACATGCATGTTATTGTTAATTATCTAAAACTCTGCATATAGTAGTTAGAGTTTAATATTTTCCTATCAGTAATTAAAAACTTTGCTTATAGTAGTCCACTTTTAAAGACTAATAAAATGTAAAATTATGTACTTAATAAAATACTCATCTAATCTCAATTTCTTATCCATCTTTTCTTTTTTAAACCTCAAAAAAGCCAAAATCATTTTATAGAGTAAACAGTAATCGTTATCCTTAAAATTCGATTCCTTTATTTTCAAAAGTCACTTTTCAATCCTCATATTTGTAAAGCGATGACGCCTTGGTTCTTTTATCAGTCTTAAATCATTTCAGACGTTAAATATCTACTGGTATCACGTGTCTTACATTTGACATCAGTTAGTATGTACGAAATTGATGACTTGAAATTTTTTAGAAAAGAAAAGGTAAATATTAAATACATCAAAATCAATAATTTTTTCTGAAATTGAAAAAAAAAAAAAAACTTAACAAGTTTGAAAAGGAGAGAATAGTAAAAATCAGGCAGGGTAAAGCTTTATACCTTCTTTCGTGTCATTTGGTCGAAATATTGCCGGGACTTCCATCCTCTTACTTGAAGTTCACGATCTAGAAGAAAAGAATTAAGAGAAAACCAACCAAGGCGCTGACGAGCAGGCCCCGTTAAGTAGATATGGAGAGGCGTGTACCCATTAACATTCTTTTCATGAAAAAGATTTCTATTTGTGAAATCATTAATCTTGTTATCAACTAAGAATCTCTTAAGTTTTTTGGGAGATACTGCAACGACAGCAAAGTGAAGAAAATTCCAGCCTCTTTTGTCCACCATTTCGCAGCAACCTGGACAATTGGAGATAATTTCTTCCATTATCCCTTTCTCGCCTTGCCAAGCTGCCATATGAAGAGCCGACATCCCTCTCTCTTTATCACTTATATAAGCAGCAGACGCATCTTCTTCCAACAAAACTTTGGCAATTGAACGTTTACCGAAATGCGCAGCATAGTGGAGTGGAGTCCGCCCATTGTCATCTGTTTGTTTCGTTAGTTGCATTTTTGCCTCTATTAGTTTCCTTACTGTCTCTGTCATTACCAAAACACAACAAAAAGATCAAAAAGTTCAACAACAGCAGTACATGTGAATTTATTTAATTTTGAAAAATGAATGAACAAGACTATGCATTTGTTTTGTTTTATTTTCCTTGTTTGGCCAGGGGAGAAACAGAACATGCGTTCCCATTGGCAGAAAAAGCAACGAGAATAGCCATTGAGTAAATTATCCCAAAACAACAACAATAACACAAAATAATGAACTGATCACTTACTTTCATCTCCGGCCAGGACTGCTGCATGCAAAGCTGTTCTACCATTGGGGCCGCCATAAACCGTTGATTTGCAATTATCTAACATCTCAGTAACCATACCGTGATATCCTCCCTCGGCAGCTAAGTAGAGTGGAGTCTCACCGCTTGTATTAGCGGAGAAATCAAAATCAGGATCTTCTTTGACCAATAGTCGCAACACATCAAGATGGCCATATCGAGCGGCCAAATGGAAAGCAGTATTTTCTTCCTCATCCCTCATTCTCAGCATCTGCCTCGCCCCGGTTGCATCCAACCCTCTCTCCGGGTCTTCATGTAGCACTACATTGGCGCGTTCAATAAGGACTTTGACTATGCCAGAATGCCCATGTCTTGCTCCAATGTGCAATGGGATTTCCCAGTTGGCATTGCGTTGCAGTAGCAGTGATGGGCACTTGTCGACAAGTTGCTCCACAAAGTTGATGGAGAATTCTCTTTCGAATACCCTTTTCTGAAAACACGGAAACGCTCTAACATTTTTTACTACCAGGCGTCCTCCGGTTCTGGAGTAAATATGAAGCACCGTGTTTTGGCTTCCGTCAACCAGGCAATCAAGAGCAACTTGGTAGTCACTAAATGCTTCCACGTCACCATTCGCCGCAGCTTTGAACAAAACAAGGTCCATGTAGGTGATAGCCTTTTCTTCCATAGGCTGTTCAGAGGGAATGGATGAGCTAACTGAGGGATTCAGCTGCATCATTATAAGTTCCATAGGCTGTTCCACCATGAGGGATATCATATTATATTTTGGCAATTACAGTCAAGGTCGTCTTCTCTTGTCCGTAATAAATTTCAAACTCTCCCAAAAGTGAACAAAACAGTATAAAAGAAAAAAATTGCAACGAGACAAGTATTTGTCTTAACGTGTAAAATCAAGCAGAAGACTTTATTTAATGTGATAAGAGACAAGTATTTGCCTGAACGTGTAAAACCAAGCAGAAGACCTTATTTTCCAAAGAGAAAATGAAATTAAATGAGGCCTTTTTCTCAGGCCACTTGCAGTATGGAGAAGTTAGTGGGAGCGCCAACAAAAATAAGATCCGAAGGAACAATACAATTGATTAATTCAACGTCTTCATGTTTAACAGCTTAATAAGTTCTTAATAGGGAAAATAAATTTTAGAAAAACATCCTAATCATGTTATTTGCTAAGGATTAGTAGCTGTGGAGAATTTTATTATTTATAGCTGCAACAACAATTGTCCTTCTCAATTCTGGAAGAATATCTTAGTTGAAAAAAACAAGTAGAGGTGTCCCCGGGGTGTCATATGGACTTATCCATTAAGCTTAAAATATTAATTTCATAAACTAAGGTATTGTAGACATTTATCTGTGTTCGGAGTCTATCGAATCGATTTTTATTACTGTAGTTATTTTTATTATCATTTTTTAGTTTAGTGTATCTAAAAAAAATTAATTTATATACATGCTCTAGGAATATCAAGACAATGAGAAAAAAAATATTGAAATGATATAATCTATTTCTTAAGCATCCTAAAATACCTTTACTTATAGGATGCGTCTTGCCGTCTTAGAAATAATTATGGAATGATTTATAATTTTTGAATGATTAATTGATTAAAATGAATTTAAAAACCAAATCAAGATCAATAATAGTATTTTAAATTGAGAGTAATTTATACTTGATGATTATAATAATCAAACATAATGTGTATTAACTTGTTTGGGAGAAATGAAAAAGAAAAGATTTTGAAATTAGTGTAATAATGGTAATGAAATCCATTTGATATTATATATACCAAAATTAATTTTAATTTTTTAATCATCTATTAATTATTTTAAAATAATATATATATATATATAACATAGTTTAAATGGTTGAGTAAATAAATAGGTCATAGGTTAAAAAATTGACAACCAATTTTTTTTTTTTTTACACAATGTAGTTTAAGAGTTGAATATTTACAATTGCAAAAGTGGTGACAAAATTATTCTATGATGATGGAACTTAAAGTTTTATTATCTTTAATATGAATTTAATTGGAAGTGATTTAAGGTAAATAATAAAGTATAAATGTAATTAATTTATTAGAAGAGACATGATAATTTTTTAAAATTGTTTACATGTCAATTATATTAGCCATCCACATTGGATAATTTTTATTTTTATCAAAAGTTTTGGTTTTTATATATTTATATAAGATTATATAAAATAATATATATATATATATATATATATGAAACGTGTGCGTGCGCGCGTGTGTGTATAGCATAACTTAAATGATAGAGTAAATAAATAGGTCATAGGTTAAAAAATTGGCAATTGAATTTTTTTTTTTACACAAATATAATTTAAGAGTTGAATATTTATATTTGAAAAAGAAAGTGACAAAATTATTCTATGATGATGGCAATTAAAGTTTTATTGCCTTTAATATGAATTTAATTAAAAGTGATTTAAGGTAAATAATAAAATATAAATGTGATTTATTTATTAAAAGATATATGACAACTTTTTAAAATTGTTCACATCTCAATTATATAGGTTAGATAATTTCCTTTTTGGTCAAAGGTTTTGACTTTTATATATTTATATAAGATAGAAGATGTATGTTTGATTTAATTTTTATTGAATTTATCTAATTAAATTTTAATTAATTAATTTAATTATTTAATAATATAATACTTGATTATCATTATAATTTTTTTTGTATATTTATAATTTCAAAATATAGCATAAATTTAAGAAAAAAAATTAATCCTTTCAGCGTTGAAATCGGGGAATTTAACAACTTCTTTGTCGGATCTGTTGGTGTAATGAACCATAATCATTAAAATATATTTACCATAAAGTCTATATATCTACCATATTTTAATGCAATGGTATTATTATATTATGGTACGTACATGTCATTATCTCCGATATTGAAGACAACGACATATTGAAGTCTAGTCTATCATATTGAAGTCTATACATCTATCATATTTTAATGCAATGTTATTATCGTATTGTATATGTCGTTGTCTTCAATATATATCTATCGTGTTGAAGTCTATATATCTACCATATTTTAATGCATATGGTGTTATTAAAATAGGGTCGGTATATGTTGTCTTTAATATATATCTATCATATAAATATGGTAGTCTGATAGATATATATTGACTTAAGAACTACTATTATCGTCTCATTTAATAATTGAAATTAAATCCATCTATTTGCATATTTATGTATAAGATATAAAAATTATCATATTAAATTTATATTGACATAATAAATACAAAACATTTTTTTTAAATTTTTATCCATCCACATACAGCTTTCACTAAATTTTAAATCTATTGCTTTCATATATTTTTTTGTTCATATAATTTTTATGTCGTATTTAAAATTTTTAAGTCTAATTGAAATAGATGAAATTGAAATATTTTTAAAAGGTTATTTTTTAAGGTTGCAAACATAAAATTTTGGTTTTATATTGATGTAAAGTTGTAGAAATCCGACTTAATTTATGAATATTGTTTACTTTGACTTAGTTTTATGGTTTTATTTCATAAAAATTATTTTACAAATAAATATATATATCATATAGTTACTACAAGAAAATGAAAGATTAGTGGCAGTTTTGTAGCAGCGTTTCATTTACAAATGCCGCTAACTTTCATGTTTTTATAAAACTTAAAGCGTTTATTATCAAAACACTACTAAATATTTAAATAGCGGCGTTGTTACTTATAAACGCCATTAAAGACAAAAAAGTAGTGGTGATTATCGACTAAAACGCTTTGAATAATCCTTTCTAAAAAATTAGAGTAATTATTAAAGGCATTTTTTTTTTACAGAAAATGCCTTGAATAATCCCCTTATAAAAAATGGATAAGGGATTATTGAAGGCGTTTTCTACAAAAAAAAAACACTTTCAATAATTCCCCTAAAAAATTGTAAAGGATTATTGAAGGCATTTTTGATCAAAAACGTCTTCAATAAATCTCCTTGTCAATAAATCTACCAAAAATGGAGTAGCATTATTGGTTGGAGTATATGGTCATTAACCATAAGGTTGTAAGTTTGATCCCTCCCTTCAGCATTTTTTGGATTTTTTACACCTTTAATAACCGCCCCCAATTTTTTAAGGGAATTATTGAAGGCGTTTCTGGCAATAATCCTTCAAAAAACTAAAAGATGTGAAAAGAGGAATCAAACCTACAATTTTATGATTAATGACCGTATGCTCTAACTAACAATGCTACTCTATTTTGGACAGATTCATTGACAAGAAGATTTATTGAGGGTGTTTTTGATAAAAAATGCTTTCAATAATCCTCTACAATTTTTTAGAGAAATTCTCAAAGGCGTTTCTGACAGAAAACGCCAACAATAATCTCTTTTATTTTTTATGAGCAGATTATTCAATGTATTTTTTACCTGAAACGCCTTTAATAATCCCTCATAAAAAATTGGAGGAGATTATTGACTGCGGTTTTTTTGCATGAAACACTTTTAATAATCCCCTCACAAAAAATGAAGAGGATTATTGAAGGCATTTTTTTTTACAGAAAATGCCTTCAATAATCCCCTCTAAAAAATTGGAGGGAAATTATTGAAGGCATTTTTAGCTAAAAACGCCATCAATAATCTCTTTTAAAAAATTGGAAGGGATTATTAAAGGCGTTTTTTGTCTAAAATGGCTTCAATAATCTCCTTATCAAAATTCAAGAAGATTATTGAAGGCGTTTTTTACCTGAAATGCCTTTCATAATCCCCTCTAAAATATTTGAGGGGATTGTTGAAGGCGTTTTTGCTCCTTATCAAAATTTAAGGGGATTATTGAAAGCATTTTCTTGCCTATGATATTTTTTGATACTTATTTGTACTTTTTTGAACCTTGTTTAAGCCATATTTTATGACTAATCAGCTGTCTTATAAGAAGTTTATGCTTTCCATATATCTTTGCTGGTGCAACTTAAAGCACAAACCGATATTTTTCATTTTTCTTGTCAGAACCTGATCTACTATTATTTTCATTTTCTCTCCAACCAAACAGCTTTTAATTTTCAATTTTCTTAATTGAATCTTGTTACAATTTTAGGTTTCTACACTCTTTTTGAATGTTTTTTAAGGTTTTCATAACGAAATTTACAAATTCTCATGATTTTCTTTTCAAATTCTATAAAATTCAGGTTGAACTCAAATATGGTTTCAAAACTGCACACCTAACCTATCTTTAGTCTTTTGATCAAAACTCAGTGAATTCTAGCTTGATTTACTTCAAAATTTTTTTCCTAGATTCCTAGTTCAAAAAGCTATAATCTAGTAAAAAGTCACCCTCAAATTCCATTTGTACAAGTACAGTTAATTCTTCAAATTTAAGGCTGAATCTAAAAGGCAGAATGATCCATGCATGAGAACTTGATGAATGATGATCCTCTCTCCTTCCAGGTGTTCGATTTGATTCTTTCATACTTTACATTCTTAGTTTTACATGTTTACTCGTTATTTTTTCATTGATTGCATTTATTTTCATGAATTCATTTGGTGTTTGGATAGATTTAGTTGTTAATGCTCTGTTTTTCTCTGTTTTGAGTATCACTTGAATTGCTAGTTCATTAAGCTAGTTTTTCTCTATTTTGCTGTCATTTTCTTGTTGAATTTTGTAGCAAACTTGATAGATGAATTGTTTCTTAGCTCATTTCAAGTTCATTTTCATTATAAGCTTCTAGACCTAATTTTTTCTTTCATCAACTCAGTGAGTTTCGATTGAATTT